TGAACTAGAACAACTCATGAGCCACTGAAGTGTGCTGCTTCCACTGCTCTATTACATGGATGTGTTTTTCTCTGGTGCATTCTAGTGTCATCAGTGGTCACAGTGCCTCTGTAGGTTCAAGTTATTCATTTCCTACAGTGAATCTGGGCTCAGAGAGAAAGTGCCACCATCTATACTCTTCCTCTTCATTAAAATCTCTCTCTTGACTCTACATGTAGGCTTGAGTTCTCATTTCAGATTCTTCTCGTGTTCTAATGATCCATTTCTGTCCACTTCTCTTCTTCACTTTGCTATATTTCATTGTCTGATCCAGGTAATCGTCAAGAGTGTCCTTCACTGCTGCTCACCACTCTTCAATCTTCTCAGAAGTCCACATAATTGTAAATGCTACTGGAACTACCATTTTTATTACTTGTCTTTAACTTTTTTACTCTTGTACTTGCATTTTTATTTTTTGAAATTTGGAGATTATTTATTGGTTATAAGAAGAACTCCTGGATTACCAAGAGTGGTCCTACATTCATGGCATTTTTTTCTTTTATTTTTTGATAGATTTGTGAGGAATTTATTTGGATTTATTTCTCAAAATAAACTTTTTAATGTCAAATATACCAACATATTAATTTATCACTTGATCACTTAAGCGTGATTTAATTATATTTATTATTTGAAGCAAGAACCTGTATTAGATAATATTATATAATAAAATTAGTAATTTCTTTCATTTTGTTGAAAGTAGATTTAATGGCCCAGCAATGAATTTAACTTATTTTTAAAATTAATGTATAAGCCATATACTTCCGATATAAAAGTCTTGTTAATAATAGTCTTTACATTTTTCATAATATGACCTATGTTCTCTCTGCCTGGTGTGTTATTTACTCAGGGGAGATATTTTAAGCATCTATGATATTTGGTGTAAGTACCAGTCAATTTTCAGTTGCTGAGTCAAAAAGCCAGATATATACAAGTTAAAAGAGGAAAGGTTTATTTTTATCCTTCGTTTAAGAGAATTCCATCCATGATTGCTTGACTCTGAGGCAGAAACACAATGGCAGAGTGGTGTAGTAGAGGTAATTTGCTCGACTTATGGCATGCAGGAGCAGAGAAGAGAGGAAGAGAGCCAGAGAAGAAAGGGCAGGGGGCAAGGTGTAGCCAAAGGCGCAACCCCTTAACCCACTTCCTCTCATTAGTCCTCATATTCTACCAGCCCATTGTGCTAATGAATTAATCTTTGGAGTAACACCTTGATGAGGTCAGCACCACAAATACATGAAACTTAGAGAATGTTTCATATTTAAACTATAACAGGTTGTCCGCTTACCTTATGGTTGTCTAAGCTAATCATGATGCCATATTGAAAGACAGACTGTCCACTGCATGGCAGAATAAGTCACATAAGCAACCTGAGCTAGGATCTTAGAGAGAAATAACTAAATTTACCAGTAAGTTATGTGCCTCCTGTTTGTGCAAGATATAAATCAGGTTAGGTCAGTAATTTTTAGGCTTTAACTTGCAAAAAATTTTAGGGCCTAATACAACAAGGGGATAAAATTTGCACTGGAAATCTCTGTTCATGGATTTGGGATTACCTATGATTAAGATTTATATGACAGTGCTAGGCACTGTGCCACACATCTGTAATTCTAACATTTGAGATGCTAAGGCAGGAGTATTGCTGGGAGTGAGTCTAGCTTGAGTGACATAGTAAGTTCAAGGTCAGCAGAAAATGTACAGCAATATCCTGTCTCAGAAAAAGAAAATATTTTCGTGAGAAGATTCCAGAAAATATATTTATTCCACAATAAATCAAAGTCCCTCTGTTTGTGAAAGCCTTAAGATTCACAAACTCATCCAAGGAATTGAATCACTGGCTTATAAAACATCACTATTGCTTTTAGGTATTTATTTATAACTATAAATAACAGATTACTTTTCAACCAATGACTTTGAAACTCACACAAATTATGATTAAAAGGATTTTATGTTGCTAGTTTGATTGAAATAAAACGTCACTAAGTGAAAGATCACAAGTGATCTGAATTTTAAATTGATGTAACTTCTGAGAACTCCATAAATACCAGGAATTCTAGTGAAGTAAGGACTCTGTCAGCATGATCAGACACTTGGGATTTAAAAAATGATTGTCTTTTTTCCTTTTGCTCAGTAGAGTTAAAATTTTGTACTGAATTCAGTTTGCTTACAACCTGATTTGGAAGCGACATTTATCCATTTTTTCTGCCACGGATGCTGTCATGAAAAAATGGCCATATAATTATCGGTGACAACTTCCATGGTGCCAGTTATTGGAGACCCCTGCAGTGAGTCCCCAGTCTCCTGTGAAGTGTTACAGTGCACAATGGGAATCAAAAGGGCAAGACATAAAGTAGGGGTAAAGGCAGGAATCTGAGATGACTAAGTATTCTCAGGGAATATAAGGCCACCAGCCACACAGAACATAGGTATCTATTCATTATATTTGAGTCAAAGACTAGGAGTGAAGAGTGGTATTTGTTTCCAAGAACAGTAATAGTGACTACAATGGGATAGTAAGAACAAAACAGAACCTGGTTGGGCAGGGCAATGAGGAAACTGTAGTTCCCCTGATGCCTGATATCTTCAGCAGGTCTTATTTGCCCTGTGAGTACCACAACAGTCAATAGCCCTAGGGCTATTGTAGTTGTAACCAAAAAACAACAGAAAGTTTCCACAGTTTAGTCTCATTCAGGGGCAGAACAAAAATAAATGTAAACATCTCCTAGACTCAATTTATAATTTATGGTCCTCAACATAAAATATTTAAGTACAAATGGTATGTCTGTGTAATTGTGGGTGTCTGTGTAATTAGTCATTATGGAATTAGACAGGAGCATGGGATGATTCTGTAAAGTACAAAGTCAAGTCCTGGTCTGGACAGGAAAGTAGAGATGAAGAGGATGATCAGGAAGAACTTGGAAAGTTCCCTGGAAAGCCACACTGGAGTCAGGAATGAGGCCTCTCTACAAGTAACACAGCTTTCAAAGCATGTCTGTGACTCATACAACTGATACCCTTCCACATCCCACATCTACTGTGTGATATTCACGATGACAAATTTCTGCCTCAGGTTAAAAAAGAAAGAAAAGTAGTGACTCAGTGCTATTATGGCAGAAGAGAAAGTATTAGAGACCTTGGTGTTACCCTATTCCTAACCTAATTCTAAGTTGTTTGGTAAGCTTTCAAATTATTTCCTATTAACTTAATTCCCTCTTCTGGAAAGACATGTTTGCCAGATGACACAATCAGTGCTGTTTAAGTCAAAAGTTCAGTGAGTTAGTGGCTTCTTTATGTAATTTTCCCACTGTAAATGATGACTGCTCAAAACAAGCACTTAAAATTTACACCCTGAAAGTTGAAACCGGCCTCTTCTCAACACAAAGGGAAAATTGTTTTGCCTTGGAAAAGAAGAGAATCCGAGGCTGGATTCCCAATCTTACTGTTTTTCCTCTCCCACATGATTCATTATTTGTCGATTAATAATATTAAATTTAGGATTTTTTTCTTAGGATACACTAAATATCTAAGGAGAGAATATTGTCTAGATCCCAGGTTGACAGGGAAAATTTACCTAGAAGTATATATCATTATATAAAACCTAAAATTGGACAACTTTTCATATTTATTATCTTGACCTTTTGAAACATTCATGATTTTTGACAGGGCTATTAAATAAGAAGGCCCAAAATAATATATGTCACTCTGCACAAATTTAACTCAGCACGCTCTCATTAAAATCAGTTAAAATAAATACCACACCATTAGAAAACATTTAAAAACCATTGTTAAATATAAGAAATACAAAACACAATTACTGTATCACTTAACATTTTTAAGGGCTATATAAATGGCTTCTACTTCAAAAATAAATTTTCATTCTATTTTTAGTAGAGCTGTGATCCTGTTATTCTGAGACAGAGAGCCCTACATTTCTGTGGCTCTTCTGAAGAGACCTATAGAGAAGTACCACTGTACACACTCAAACTGATAGGCCCAGTGTGGGGTTGGAGACATTGAGAAAATGTCTGCATAAGTTTCTGTGACATACACTTCTGTTTTCAGTTGTTTTTTGTTCTGATCTTTACATTCTTTCCAACTTTTTTATGATCTCTTTCTGTGGCAGACTCAAAGCAAAATTTACAAGCTTGTTTCTTGATATTAGACAATATATTACAGGTATTGCTCTTTTGATGTAGGAAAAGAATAATGAAAAAGAAGAGAATGAGACAGAGACTTACATTCTTATGGAAAAAAATATTTAGGTGCGTTGAAAACAGAGTATGTGTCTAATTTTTGCATCTTGGTAAACTCAAACTAGAGTTATACAATAAAGACTTCATTCGTGATGGTGGACTGATTATTTCAAATTCAAAGTACAAAATAATGCATTTATATAATTCAACGCAGGCAATCAGTTCACTACATATTTTTATCTCCAATCCCCTTCTCTTGCCTATTAAACTGTAAATTCTCCACTCTATCTGCATGTCCCTTTACTGTGAGATCCTTCTTGGAAACTTATCTCTACATTCTTGAGATTCTTCCCATCATAAATCATCAGTCCACACTTGAACATTCATTGAAGTGTTTCTTGACATTTCCATTTAGCTAACTTATTTACTACCTGCTTGGTCTTTCTCCACAAATCCTTATTGATATAAATACCATAGCAAGTGAGTATGCTTCCTTAATTTCTTTCAATATCCTTCTCAAAGTTTCAAGTCTACCTGAACATTTGTGTATTTTTTTTTCTAAATTGTATTTTCTTTTTCCTGTATTACTAAGGTTCAGGGATGGCATTTCTCTTTCCTCTACGTTACTCAATTTCTCCTAACGTATAAATCAGTCCATTTTAGTTCTATGTTTCACATATGGTTTGATTGATCGGTTAATAACATGATTTTCTTTACTAATGACTTGAATTGTACAATTACCAAATGGAGAAGCCATGATAGCACACAATCTCAGGGTTTTTGAAGCATACCCCTAATCCCCTGAGGGATCCTTTTAACAGCCTCTTTTACCTCCCTGTTGCGAAGGGTATAAATAATTGGGTTGAGAAAAGGAGTAAGAAAAGTATACACCAAGGATAAAAGCTTGTCTCTGCCCTCAGCACGTACCACGGGTGGCCCTACATACACAATGAAAGCAGAGCCAAAGAATAATATTACTACAGTTATATGGGAGGAACAGGTAGAGAAGGCCTTGGCACGACTGGCAGCTGTCGGCAGCTTCAGCACAGCTTTTAAGATACCTCCATAGAACCCTAAAATAATAACAAGATTGCAGGTGTTGATCAAGCCTATAACCACGATATAGACATGAGCATGCCAGTCTGTATCCACACAGGCCAACCGCATTAAGGGTGCCAGATCACAGAAATAGTGAGCTACTTGCTTCAAGCAGTAGGGCAGAGTGGCGATGAGGCCGGCTGGCACAAGTGCAGATGAGAAGCCAACCAACCAAGCAGCCATTGCTAACCATTGCTGTACCTGTCTGCTCATGAGGGCATGATAGTGGAGCGGGCGACAAATGGCGAGGTAGCGGTCCAGTGCCATGACACACAATAGGAAGCACTCAGTCATGCCCAGTGAGTGGAAAACATACAGCTGTGTGAAGCAAGCAGCTGATGAGATGGGTGAGCTCCCATGGAGCAAGGTGTGCAGCAGTGTGGGCACCGTGGTGCTGACGTACCAGAGCTCCAGGAAGGACAGGACACTGATAAAGAAGTACATGGGTGTGGAAAGCCCAGAATCTGTCTTCACCAGAATAATGATGAACAAGTTCCCTGCAAGAGTGAGTAGATAAACACACATAGTTCCCACAAAGGCAAAAGATTGTAGGGTCTCAGAGGTAGTGAATCCAGCAAGGATAAAACTCTGAACCCATGTGTGGTTGACAAGATCCATGATTCCAGGAGCAAGTGGCACGGGAAGAAGGTGAATATCTTCAAGATTCTTTAGAAGATTCTGTAAAACCCAAATATACAACCAGAAAAAGATATGCAGTTCATCAAATCAACCCCCTTCACACTAAAAAAAAGGAATTGATTAGTCATACAGATAAAAGATTTGCTCAGTAATACCCTGACAGAGTTGGGGTGATTCATAATTCTTGCTTCACAAAGAGGAACTTGGACTACTGCCTCATACCAGTTTTGTGGCCTGGTAGTCTCATCCACACTCCCTGACAGGAATCCTACTTAGGGAAAAATGCCATTTCTACTTCTGCTACATTCCCAAATGAAATCCTGCAGGACACCTTAAAATACTAACCCATACTATATAGCTTTGTTTAAAGAACTAGCTATACAAAACTGTTAGAAATAAGACACATACTTTCTAGAAAATAATTTCTAAGATTCCTTCAATAATTCTCTCTGGTACTCAGCAATATTCTCATTATTGGCTGAAAGAGGAAAAGACAAGGTAGAAAGAATCTTCCATTTGTCAAAACTCAAATTGTAGAATTGGATTATTAATTAATAACCAGATAGGGTACACTTTTATAAAGGCCCTAAAGGGCATCATGCATTAGTAATCTCACAGGTTTTGGAAGAGAAGAAAAAGAATGAGGTAAGGCTTATTCTTTTGTAGATCAGGAAAGCTTTAGTATAACAAACAAAACATATTTTTGGAATTGACTTTGTAAATTTGATGCAGCACTGACCTCAGAATGTATGTTGGGTCTTATGATTTCTCTATTCTTCACCACAACTTCCTCCCTTTAAAATGAATTTTTGTGTTCCTAAAGCTTCTCATAAGGCTCTTAGTCTATGATTCTCTCTGAAACTCTTTGAAAGGCATTTGCAGGTTACCCCTGATGCTCTATATCAACTTACTGACATTTTTATTTCTTTCTTTTTCTTTTTGTTTTTCTTTTTTTTGGTGGAACTGAGGATTGAACTCAGGCCACTTGCCAGAGTTATTCCACTGAGCCATCTCCCCGGTCCCGACATTTTTATTTCTGTACGTTAATTGATCTCATTCAGGAAGTCTCAAGGCCATATCCTAGTTCTCTTCTCTCCTTTTCCACCACTGCCCATTACCTGACTCTGATGGCAATGAAATGTGTTGCACCCTACATGGCATCCTTTCTTCCCCAAGAAACCTTTTAAAGCTATATCTTATATTTCTGGAAATATGTGTCTCCCAGGCTATACTTTTTACATGTTCCCTGGAGTTGCTAAGATTAACTCTCAGTATGGGGCCCTCTGGGGCAGTAAATTAGGAATAGGGAAATGAAACAGCTAATGTTCTATGCAAACAATTTTGCTGAACTTTGCTTTGCGGTTCTTGAATCTAACCCTGGGGATATTGACTCCTCTAGACCACTAGAGATATTGCAATTCTCAAGGAATTCTTTTAAAGTGACAACGCAACTCATTTTTAATCTCAGTACTATCGGGGCTGAGGAAGGATCATAAATTTCAGCCCACCCAGGCCAATGTAGTGACACCCTGTTTCACAATAAAAAAAAAAAATAGAAGGAGCTGTAGAGGAAGCTCAGTGGTAGAGTGACCCTGGTCTCCAGCACAAAACAAGAAAATGCAATTTGCATATTCATAAGCATGCATGTAGAGAATGACACATTAGAAATCCCAGAAGTAGAGATCATCTTAAAAATTCTCTTTCTAAGATTTCTCATCCATCATTGCCCCAGGAACATAACCCACAAGAATGCCATCTTTATTTTTTGGGCTGACCATTGCTATCTTTATATTCCTACTACTACCCTGTTTTCATGGTATCTGCTATCATTTGTTTATTGTTCCAATTATTCCTAACCAGGCTTTGTTGCACAGTACTATGCAAATACTTTAGGGCCAGAGAGGGCAAACTTTTCTGAAGGGACAAGATAGCAAATATTTTATAATTTTCAAGACCTATACTTTGCCACAACTTCTCAGCTGTGCTCTTGTAACCCAAGGTGGCCGCTAACAGTAGGTAAAGGAGTGGGTGTGGTAGTGTTCTGATAGAATTTTATAAAAACGTGAGGAAGATATCTTGAGTTTTTTTTAGTATTTATTTAAATTAAACATTTAAATTAGTATAATTAGAAGATAAAATTTGTACATATTAATAGATTAATTTATATATCCTGTCACACTTTAATTACGTAGTATCTCCTCAGACCCAGACTACAGATCCTATTTGGTCCAGGAGCCATAGTTGAATCCAGGATTGTAGCTTAGCAGCACCATTGCATGCAGATATTGACACAGACATACACATGCTGTATTTTGGGCAAATTATCTCTTATCCTACCATTTTGGGACTCATTCCATGATTCCTGAAATTGGCATGATTCCTGAAAAGATTTATCTCTGTCAAAGAAAATCCAACCAGCCAAAAGCTCTAAGTTCATAAAGAGACAATATGTATTCCTCTTCAATTTTCTCTTCATTGTTCTTCAATGTACTTGCCAAATGTATGATTTTAGAGCCCTGAATAGTGTTCACCTTGGCAAAATAGAGTATAATTGAAAGAAAAGTTTGAGGTGTATTCAGTCTTTGCAGAAAGTTTTGTATTTTTCTTGGTCATTGTTAATAGGAGAGGCATATAATAAGATTTTATAAAACATTATAAATTGGACAATTGTGCATACTAACCATATTGAAATAATGTTATTAGATAAGATTAACGTTAACTCTGGCAGTTTGACCTATGTACAAAACGCATCTATTTTGTTCCCATGTATTTTTCAAGGCAAAATATTCAGGACAATCTTGCCCTTAAATTTATATGAATATAAGATGTGAGCTTTTGTGTTTATTATGAGCTGTAAGATAATTAGAACACCTTAGACTATCATAAATCATGCTAACCAAATGTAATGAAAATTATTTTTGTCAGTCACTTGATATTTGGTCGAAACTTCCATCACCACAGTATGCCACCTTTTCTTACAATTTTGTTTGTTTGTTTGTTTGTTTCTTCCTTCCTTCCTTTCCTTCCTTCCTTCCTTCC